TTTGAACCTACAAACCCGAAGTAGATATGGAGTTGCTTCAGGACATCTGTGTAGACAAAATCTCATGGCCAATGCAAGGGAAGATTACCACTAGCAGGAGGCAATGTGTAGACAGAAAATGGTGGATTGGGGCAGGCAGGCAATCAATCTACAATCTGAAAGTGGGGGAAAGGAGCACAAGCAGCAGTCTGCAGAGTGCAATTCTGTGATGTGGTAATAGCTTTTGTGTGTGAATCAGTGTGAATCTTTTGGTTCTGCATTGGGCAGTCATGAAACCACTTTGCAGAAAGCTTGAGTATGGGAGGGAATTAAAACTGCAGATTTACTTCTGTTAAGAAGAGAGACTGTATTGGGATCTCTAGAATATGAAGCAGACAATCTGTTTTCAGAGGATATTAAGAAAATACCCATCGTTATTTGTTGATACTGATTAAGCAAGCTTCTATTAGAAGTGACATGCAGGGAGGTAGATTTTGGTCCTTTAAAATAAACACCAGGGATTTTATGAGACTATGTTATAGGAAAGGGAAGTGGTTGGCTGCATATGATTTAGATGTTCCCTGTGGGTAGGCTCTATTTTATTTTGGTTTTGTTTTGATTTTATTTTTCTTTACCCAGAAGACTCATGACTGTATTTTGTAATTGCAAGAGTGGGTTTTGAAATCAGTAACCATTCTCTTAAAATTTCAGTCTTTAAGAATCCAAACCAGAGCACGAGGTAGAAACTTAAAAGTGTTTTACAGCTGCCACTTTCAAGATTATTACAAATTTATCCAGCAGTAAAGCACAGGAACTCAGGCTGAGGTGTATATCGTGTTTTAGCAGTAGCGGTAAGTGGTGGTTGGGGTGGGAGGCGTGTTTCTTGTCACATTTACAATCCACCTTTCCTTTGACAATTCATTCTCTCTTCCTGGTAGGAACCTCTGAAGCAGGTAGCCAGTCTCTTATCACCCTCCAGTGGTTTGCAGAGCACACTGCAAGTGTAATGTTCAGAAAGCTTATTCAGAAAATAGAAATGGGGATGGGGCTGTTTCAAGTTTTCTTCTTGGGATATGCATTGTTGCATTATGGAGGGTTTTTGGGGGACGACTTGTGTAAAAGGTGTTGCAGTCTTTAGATGTTACAGTGTTTTGGCACACCTGTTCTGACACACCTGTTCTGTGGAGTATAATGGTATTCATGCAATTGCTTGCATTTGCAAGACATTAAACCATCTGCATCTCTCATGATTTCCTGTCTGTATCTGTCTGTATTGCTGTCAGGATTAAGGGATCTATGGGTGAGGACAGCCATATGTACAACAGTGAAGGGGTGCTTCAGAGGTGGCTGGGCAAAAGCTACAGTGTTTGGGTGTTTGTCTATCAATTTAGAGTCTCAGTAATTTCCAAGTCATTATAAATGTCTCCTCTGGCTATTACGGTCTCTTCTCTTTCTTTTCCTCCTTCCACTCTCTTTATGTGTATTAACATATGAATTTCCAAGGAAAATTGCATTTGGGCACTTATTTTTGTGTTATTTTTCTGTTCTGTGTTATGTTTCTGTTCTTGGTGGCACTGCTGTTCTATCCATGGCATGTGAGAGCGTCATCAACCTGATGGTTGCACATTTTTCTGGCGCACTGATGAAGATGATAAAAGATGATGCATTTTATTTTACCTTGTTATCATGAATGTAGAACTCATGGCATAAGAACTATAGAAGCTTCCAAATACAGCAGGGGTGAATTTCTGAGTGGTTAAGGAGCCATTGATATGCTGTGTGACATGGTAGCACCTGCCAAACTTATCCACACAACTTTAAGCTATATTGAGTTCTAAAGTACAAGTAAAAGGGGCTGATGCTTTCACTGCTCAATATATTGTGGACTTTGCTATGGATTTCCAAGCAGTTTTTTTTTTATTTCCCTACCTATGCTTTTAACCAAGAAAGTCTGTGCTAACAGAAACAGTTAATTTTTTTATTTAAGCCAATTGCAAATATCCTAAAATCGTGAATTGCACTTTTCTGCTCCAGGACAACATAAATTGTTGGCTTATCTACTAACATCAGCTGTCTACTAGAGAGTGATAGTGGTCATGTAAGTACTCTCTGTTCAGCCAAGCTAAAATACATGAGTAGGACAGGAAAATTGCTGTAGCTACCACAGGGATCACCAGGAGTAAAGCACAAAGTTTAACTGAACTTCCCCTTCTGAGTTCAGCCCATCATGACTGGAGTTGAGAGCAGAACTGGGATTGCAGCTGGGGCAGGGCAGGACAAAGGCGAAACTCTTTTTAAGAGCTTTAATTGCTCCCAAGTACTCTGATCCCCCTGTGTCTCTGTGAGCAGGTCTCTAGGTCCTTTCCTGTACCCCAGCTGGGATGCTGCACAGTCCTCCAGTTCCATAATGGCCTTTGTCCTGGTGGCCTCTCCGAGTCCCCTGCCCGCCAGCTTATTTCTGGTGGTAGGCTAGACACACAGGCATGCTTGTCTGGTGGGAGAAGGAAAGGGGCCAGAGAAAGGAATCAGTGGCAGGCCTTGGCTTGCTTTCTGGCTGGATCTGGTCACAGGATGTCAGCAAAAAAGGTCTGCTTTAGCCCATTTCTGCTAGCCCCCTCTTCTGATATACCTTTCTTGTCAATCTCAGCAGAAGTCTGTGAGCTTGTTCCTTTATTTACCTATCCTGCCTGTTGGTCATTCAGGTTTTGGTTTGTTTTTTTTCCCCACTTACAAAATGTTTGCATTCAGAGAAATGGGACCAACCTTCTTCTTTGGCTTTAAAATTCCATATGCAATAGCTGTATTTGTCTGGGTGTTCAGATCGATACTAAAGCTTTTGTGTATGTTGCAGAGAGTAAAATGGTTGTAAGGAGACTGGAGGTATACATGACAGTGGAAATTTAGCTCAGAATCTTCTCTCCAGTAGACCAAAACGCATAGAATCAGAGTTGAGATTGCAAAAAAACTTCTGTTTATGAACACAGTTCATTCTTTATTACGTTCAGCTTTGATCTCTCACAAAGCATCCACAGGTAAATGAAGGGTTAAGGTAAAATCCCTTCTTCCATGTGGACAAAGACCACTTTTCCTTTGGAAAGAAAGCCCTTTGCAAGACTTGAATTGAATTTTCACTGCAAAAAGGATAAAAGTCTCTAGGTCAAATGCTGTGTAACCTGGTGACTGTAATGATATAAGGCTGTTGATAATGCCACAGTCTGTCTGCTCAATACTACCTACATGAACTACAATGAATATAAGGTTCTGGGTTTTTTTTGTTGGTTTATTTACTTTTTTAATACCCCCCATTTTCCCAGACTGCTGTACAGAGCCCAGTAAGCTTAGTTTTCATTCCTAAGTAGATGTATCAGAAAATGAAGTATTAGCTAGGAAATAAACTGCTGGCGCTGTCTCTTTGTATATAACTCAGGACATATGTCAGTTCTTCTATACAGATATTTAAGCCTTGTGATTGTAAAACTCTAGCAAGGGCTAGAAAATGCTCCAGAGATTTTGTTTTGAGGTGACAGCTCTGAAATGTGCAAGTTTAACTGCCACTAAAGACTGAAATCTGTTTGGTCCAGTAAGTACTGTTGTAAAACTAGGGGCAGGAAGAAGCATTTTTGAAAGTTAGCCTTCTTGGTGACATTGCATTAACATTTTAGTACAGTTGTGCTCCTTCAGAATGTGGCAGGACAGCAACCAGTATTCAGACAAGAACTGCCATACTGGTTCAGGTTAAAGTGTAAGCATCTAGCTTTAATGCTAACTATCTCCAAAACTATACATAAGCAATTTAGGGGAAATTTGTTATTTCCCTATAACAAACCAAAACAAAATATAAAAACCAAACTAGCCAACAACAACAACAACAAGCTCCAAAGCAACCTCAAACAAGGAAAACAAAGCCAAATTCATACCTTCAAAGCAAATTTATACCACCTCTGTGCTTTGAAGTGGCCAGTGGTTTTGATCCAGGTTTAGCACCTGGAAAAGGCTAGGAACCACTGCAGGAGTGCAGTAAAGGTATGTGTAGGCAAGCAGCAGCTTTGCTATGCCAGTGGTCTCTGCTGGGGTCTGCACACTGAAGCACAGTTCAGTCTTGCATGAGCACGACTGCAGGGAGGTGGCACTGTTGTATTGAGGTTTGTACTTCTTCCATGTATCAGATGCTAGCGACCAGCTCTGAGATTATTCATTGGAATTGAGGCATTTTGATTTTAAATGTCATTCTTTCATCTGTTGTTCAAGGTAAGCATTTTAGTAGAGAAGGGTTTTATTTTAAAGAAGTGCTGAGAAAAAATAACATCTTCACAAGCAAGACGATTAAAAATTGGCCCAAAGAGCTGCATTGTTTAAATGCAGAGAATAGCTTATTTAATCTTAAAATAGCCTTAAGCTAGGATTTATTGCCATAATTCACAGATGTATGATGGATTTAGGGCCATAATTCACAAACGTGTGACTGGAAGATCCTTCTTGCGTTACCAAGGCTGACTGCTTTCATATACAATCTTTTCCATGTAATCATCTTTTCAAGTTTCTTGAAGTTAATCCTCAATGCTGCTGCCTTTCTTATGCTCTTAATTTATGGGAAGTCTGTTCCATAACTGCATTCCTCTAAGTCTAAGCAACTAAGAATAGCTGAGAACAGCGTAAGTATTAAAAACTAAAGTCTGGGGTTTTTTAATTCTCTCATCACCAGAAGTATGCATCAGGTAAAGTTAAAATGAATATTCAGCTTACCTGTCTACTAACATGTTTTGGCTGTGCTGCAATGAGATTACTTCAGATGTCATTTGCAAGCAAACAGAAACAGAACTCTTCATTCCTCTGAATCTGTAAAAGTAACATCATTATGAATTTTACAGTGATGATGCACATATTACTGTAATGTGTATTATAAAAATAAAAGGATTTGTTAATTTTATTAATTACTGCTTTTTTTTTCTTTTTGATAGAAAGAAACCGAATAAGTTCATTGTACTATTTTAAAATTCTAACTTTTGTTTTTTTCATTACAGTGGGAGAAACTACAGATGACAACAAGTGAGAGGAGGAAAATAGTTTGTTCAGTCACATTCCATGTAATTGCAATTACCTGTGTTGTTTGGTCATTGTATGTTTTAATTGACAGAACCGCTGAGGAAATTAAACAAGGCAATGATAATGGTAAGTATCTTCTGCCTTCCTCAGTCTTGTTGATAATGCAATGGATGGCTTTGAGAGGCAGGTATGTAACCAGTCACATTCCGTTCTTAAATAACAGCTCACTTGATACATGGCTACATCAATTGCTTTAATGCAGAAGTAATGAGTGCATCAGTGTTAAAAGCTTGTTATGGCCTGCAGAGAGACCTCTACTTAGTGTAATCATTGCCATGGCTTAACTAGTCTGCTGGTTTTTTTTAGGTTAATCTCCCATTATCTAGACATTTCTGAAGTTCAAAAAGCGAGTCAAATGCAAACAGCTCAGTGCAAGTTCAGGTCAAAAAAATAGAGATTTGTTTATATTACCCACCTGAACCTTGATATCCTGTAAAACACGATAGAGCCCCTTCATCAACAAGCTTCCTCGTACAAAATTCCAAGAGACTGTGTTCCAGTTCTGTTAGGCCTTCATGTAGGACTTAAGAAATATGGAAAGCCATCCCTGCATCCTTTTGAATAGAATTTCACTGTGAATGCCAGTTGCTTTTATTGTGAGGGTGGTCAAACACTGGAGCAGAAAGGTTGTGGAGTCTCCATTTGTGGACATACCAAAAACCCAACTGGCAATGGTGTAGCAAAACGTGTTTAACACAACTAGGTTTCTTTGTACCCTATGTGGAAACTGTGTTCCAAACTGAACTACTGTTTTCCATTTCAAATCTCAGTCTGTTTGGTCTTAAATTTAGTCTTAAATATGTTCACAGTGATAAAAGGCTTTTGAGTTTCTATCTGAATTAATTTTAAGTGCAGTAGAAGGACAAAGGTCTGTAGCTTTGTGCTATGCTCTGAATTTAACACAGAAAGCAAAACAGGCAGAGCTTTGTGCCTTGATAGATAAATATTTGATGATACTCCTGATGCTTGCCTTTCTTCCCTATGAAAGGAAAATGTGTAACAAGCCTCAGTAACTCACAGATGACTGTACACTGTATAGTCTTGGTTTGCCTTCTTTCTAGATGGGTAACCCTATTTTCCATCTCTCAAAAAAAATGGCCCTAAGGACAGGACTAGGAATGGCTTTGAACTTCTATTTATGAGTACAACTATGTGATCCTACTCATTAAAAGGGGGAAGGTATTTCTGTGGATTAGCTGAATTTACACAACAAAACAGCTGACATGAATTTTTGTTGTTATATAGAATGCATAATAATTAATTCCTGGTAGGCTGAAAATATTTATGGTTTCCATAAAATTCAGTGCCTGCCAAATGTAATGGATGATTCTGCACGCTAAAAAGTAGACAGAGATACACCTTGAAGCTACTTAAACCATGTAAAAATAACTGTTTATCAAAGTCTTTTGCCCCATGTGGGCAGGGGTGTTACTTTTACAAAATCAAACCTCTAGGAGGAATAGGACAGGGAAGAGCCATATCTGTAGTTTGCTTTTCTCTTCATTATCTCTCTTTAAATGGGAAATGCTGGGGAAAAAACAGTGAACACGGGAGGAAAAAACACTTTATAAACATCTTTAGAGGAGAAAATCTGAAAGCCCTGAGCACTAGTACTGTTTGTTAATATTGTGTAAGTTTAAAAATCTCTTTTTAGCATGTATCTTAAAATATTTAAAGGTTTGTTTTATTTTTCCTCTTTACGAAAGCATATAATACAAATAAATGAAAGTGTAAACCTCGTCTTCGGTAAAACTGTCACTGGTCAATAGAAAGGACAATTTAAAATCTATTTAAAATATTCTAAAATTTATATGGCACCACTGGTAGGGAATCAAGTTTCACATAATTTTGTTCTGCGTGAAGAAGTAGGTCTGAGCTTTACCTCTCCTAATAAATCTCAAGTTTGTTAAAATACAGCAATTCAAAATTCAATGCAAAATTCACTGTACCATACCAGTTAAGCAACAAATGACACTTTCTGTATAACCATGGATGAAGCAGCAGCACATCTTTAATTCTAAGAAGTGGAAGAAACTCTGAACGAAAGCGGAGCTGTTTATTCAGCCTCTTTCTTCTGAGCTCAGCACTCCAGCTGTGACTTGCCGATTCTAAGTGCCTTTACCCACTGATAGGCTTAGTCAGATGCTAAGCGTACTGTTTCCACATTTAAGAGCAAGACAGAGACAGTGATATTTAAACCCAGTTATTAAAGGAGAAAATAAGAGAAAGAACACATCACTGGATGACACCTCAGCAAAGTGTTCTTTGTTGCTTCTTCTGATTTCAGGAACAGGGGATTGAAGAAAGGTATGACAAACATTTTGTGAACAAATTTAACAAATACATAAGGATTTTTCTCTGGCAAGTTCAATTAAGTAGAGTAATAGCAGTTTAGGCAGATACCAAGTGATTTTCAAGGTTTTTGTATGCTTTCATTTTGCTGCAAATTAAAAAAAAACAGCTAGCACCATCACTGAATAGATTGTTACTATTTCAAAGTACTGCTATGACAGAGAAAACTACAGCTATCAGTGTTATCAATCATTATACTTCCTTTGTGCAAGTGGCCTTTCACTTATTATTTGACCAAATTGTGGTGAACTCAGTTGAAAGTGGGAGGCAGATGTAGTTTCTTGTCTGGCCTATGGGATGGGAAACTGCTGCTATTTTCTGCTTGAGTCACAACTGCCCCAACAGCATGTACATACCCGGAATTCTTAGCAAATAAGGGGCTTATTTCCAAAATATTTTACTGAAACTCAGTGCTTGATATTCAGTGTATAACAACAGTAATTTATATAAATGTTTTATTTTAAAGGTGTCCTTGAATGGCCATTTTGGACAAAACTCGTTGTGGTGGCCATTGGATTCACGGGGGGCCTGGTCTTCATGTACGTGCAGTGTAAGGTGTATGTTCAGCTGTGGCGCAGGTTGAAAGCCTACAACAGAGTGATCTTTGTTCAGAACTGCCCAGACACCACCAAAAAACTGGAGGACAAGAACTCTTTGTGCACTCAGACCTCAGATATCAAGGACGCAGTAGTGGTGCCAGTAGCACAGACAAGTACAAACTCTCAGCCAGAAGCTGAAGAAATGATGTCTGAGGTCATGCCAGTTTGACAGAGGCAGCACTGTTTCTTCCTTGCAGAATAAGGTGTAGTGTTTTGTACACTACAAATGCTAAAAGAGAGCAGAAACGACTGTGCATTTTTTTCAGTTAAAAAGAACAAAAACCACACAGAAAACAAAATCCTACAAGGAAAATGGATCCAGCAAAGCAACTTGTTACTGTATGGAATGTGACCGTTTGTGAAGTAGTTCCTCAATTAGTCACCAAGTGTAGTGAAAGTGGAAGTAAGTGTAGAAAGTGCAATAGAGAACAGGTTTAACAGACAATGCCAAACCAATGTGACAATAGTAGTTTTTTTTTTTTTTTTTAATTTAAATTTGATGGCTGGGAAAGTAGGAAGAGACCTGATAGAATCATTTTGTTTACGGAGAACAAAAACCTTTAATCTGTTTACTACTAAGAGTTGTGTATTTGCTATTTATCTTCTTAAAAGATACACTTCAAGAGGGTACCAGTCAAGTTATACGCATTAACTGAAGTACAAAGAGCTGTATCTCAGTACTCATTCTCTAAGCCTCATATGGTAACAAACATTCATGTGACTACAGTGGAGCCTGAAAGTTTGGGCAGCTCTGTCAACTGAGGATATTTGAGACATTTGAAGGGTAGTATTGTTCTGAATATGCCTGAATTTTTGAAAAGTAAGTAACTCCAACCAGTATAAACTCATGTCTCCATAAGCTACAGATATTTTTTTAAGTACAGCTGTCTGCAAAACAAAAACAGGAAGGAGAGAATGTGTAGGTACGTATTTAGAAGAGCAGCTCAGCTGTTCATTTTGCTTTGTAAGAGTGAATTAGACATAATTTGGATGCACAAAGATGTGAGGCAGAACTATAAATGAATAAAAATGCAGTTCAGTGCAAACCACACACAAGTAGGTAGCATATTATCAAAGGTCTGAAAAAGGATGACACACTGGGAAGATGGAAGCCAATTTTGGTTTTATTTTTTAAGATTCGTGATACAGGACAGTAGACGTAAGAGAATATACTCACATATTTTAACAGAACATTAGTTTTTATCTCCTTGTTCTGAAAAGTTAGTTTTTATCTTCCTGACTGAAAAAATAAATCAATGGTTTCCCTCTGTACAGGTAAACTTGAGGTGTTAGAGATTTACAGTTCAGTTAACTTCTTTGTGTTTTGAACATCCTCATATAAAAATGAAGTGTGAATAGCATTAAAAGGTGCAATAGATAAATGAATGTAGATGTAATACTGTGTCCAACAGGGTGAATTATATATAAAGAGCCGTTTTTGTGATTCACTTCTCATATCTGTGATGTTTACCATCAGGACACAACAGCAAGTATTGACCTGCAGTAGTTATGTACTGGCATGGATAAGTCTGGGGCCTGAAAGTAATATATATTAAAAAAAAAAAAAATTGAAGTTCTTTTTTTGTTTGTTTTTAATCTTTTATTTAGGTAAAGGAGGAAAAGCAAACAAGCAAATAAAGAACCAGAGTAAAGAGGATAGGAAAGGACAGGTTCATTCAAAGGGGCAAATCTGCCACAATTACAAGTGAATAGACTTCTACAGAAGCCTTGGTAAATTTCCTCTTTACACACTCAAATATCTGTAATTAATTAACAGAATAAGTCCATTCTTGCAATTATCCAGGGTGCTGGGCCTAAGATGTATTAGAGTTCATATATTAGGCGTTCCTTTGTGAATGTGTTCACTGGCTTAAGGCTCAGGGAACATTGGAAGTGGCAATATTAGCAAGAAATGTGTCTTTTATCAGACCATTATGTTCTTTTATATTGGAATTGCTCATGTAATTTTGCTGTGACTAAGTGATTGTCATCTGGCTAGACAGAACCCAAAATCCTGGGGCTTGAACAGGCCCTAAATACATGTTAATACTTACTGTTACTCCAGGTGAATTGGATTAATGGTTAAGTTTTTTCACATAACAACACACACTTTACGTATAAAATAACTTTCCAATTATACAATTTCAAATTAAAATTATAGCAGCTTCTCATTTGAAATTACAAAGAAGAGTAAACAAATCATTTCTCTGTAATTGTGGAGAAGGCTTCAGAAGGCCTTCGGAAAACAATGACAGTACTGAGAAATTCTTCGTAACTGCACGTTTAAAACAGCCTGTAAAGGCATGGTTTTCAAAAAGTGTAAATTCACTTGCTAAAAAGTAAATCTTAAATCTGAAGTCAGACACTTAAAATTACTAGCTGCATCTAAATGTTTGGGAGGATGTATACAATAAAACCTGATGAATCATAGCAAAATTGACTGACAAGGAGCATTATTATGGAAGAAAAAATAACAGCTTTATGCAATAATCAGAGATTTTCTTACAAAGTGACAGTAAACCTGCTTCCTTAGCCAGCTTGTTCTTTGACGTGCGATAGCATTATGACCCCATTGAAAATACATTATCCCCCATTTTGGCAGTTTACTAGAGACCAATTCACATTGGCTTTTTTCTTTATTCAAGAATTCAACTCAAAGAAAGTACCTGAGGCTTCTGTAGTATCCAACAAGATTACTGTACATTTTTTTAAATATACTGAAGAGTTGGCCACAGAACAGACAACTTAACCTACAGATTTTATACTGATGACTTCAACTTCAAAATGCTATTTTGGCACTCATCTCAACTACATGTGCAACCAAGCTTACAGTTAGTGAAATACAAGAACAGAGAAAGGCTTCAGTTGAAATTCGTCCTCTCCCTTTGAAATATTGATTTGGATAGCAGGAAAAGGAGCAAAATGGGACACTGTCTGCTAAGACAGACAGCAAGTCTGCAGCTCGAAGCAGTCTTTAACCTTTTAAAGCATTACAGTATTAGCCCGTGCATCCCTCTACCTTCTTAGGTGCACTGGATATTCTAGAGCTTTCGGGGATTTCATGCAGGATTGGAATTTGCTTGTGAAGCGAGATGCTACCTCTTTAAGAGGGCAAGGAGCTATTCACACCACCATGCCTTGGATACAGGTCTGCATGGATAAGGTGCACAAATACAGACACCAGACTGCTGCTTACCAGCCAATGTTTTTTCATTCCTACACAAAGCACAATTTTCTCTATCAATTTAATAACCACAGGATTCTATCCTGCAAAAAAACAGTATGCTGAAAATTCTAAGATACATTCTATGATTTTTTAATGAAAATTACATATAAAATAAGGATCCATAGCAAACTGCCTGTGTAGCCACAGTGCATTCTCAGGCAAAGATGCTGGCAGTGGAATTTAGCCTTGGCTAAACCCACAAGGGCAGAACCTTGCACTGAGCAGCCATTACCAAGAGCAGCTTAATCTGCATTCTTGTTTAAAAAGTTTTAATGTAGGTAGAAGTAATCTGGTTTCAGATCAGATCTGGAATTTTAAAGTACTCTTAACCTGTGAATAAACACATTTCCTGTTGTAAGTTACAAGCATTATAAAATTTATTTCAAACTGGCGTAAATATACCACTTTTGACTCTCATGAGCATTACAAAGATTCCCAACTAGTCCAACTGTGCCATTCACACACTGCTCTATCTGAAGGCAGTGTTTATTTTTGTTGTGTAGAAAAAAACAGTAACTCCCCATCACCAGAACAATCTATTTATAATTAATTTCTAATAATGCAATGAAACTTACTCTAAGGTGAAAATATTTTACTGTGTATAATATTTGGAACTACAAGTTTGTGTTACTTGTTTAACTCCCTCTCTTTTGCAAAAGAAAAATTGTGGTTGAATGTGTATTGAAAGAGAGAAGACAAGGGAAACAAAAGTAATGTATCGCTTATTGTTGTGAAAAAAAATGTATTTGTATTAAACAAATGACCTAAATTACTGTAGTATTCTACATTTGTCACTTTTGTTATAGAGAGCATCACATGCTGAACATGAATTGTCAAGACCAAACTCCTGCAAGAAAGATGAACAGTACACTTAGCTGTGTACTTAAGGTTGACAAACCTGCAAACTCAGAGTGGCAATTCTGGGTACCGTGCCTTGGCAGAATGCTCAGGAAAATACCTCACAGTACAAAAACACTTGAAAAGAACTACGGTTGTTTAACTTGAAGAAGGGAAGACTTGTGAACAGGCTTCAACTGGATAAAGAATGCCCAGAAAACAACCTGTTTACATCCATAGCATAATGGGAAACTAGTATAGGGATTCAGCTATAGGACGATAAAAGGGAAAAGTGCTTCCTAAGGAAAGCAGTGTTTTGGAATGAACTGTTTGTTATGTGTGACTGGGGAATGTCCAACAAGTTTTAAAGCTGGGATGGACAGTTAGATGGTTTAAAGCTAATCCCACCTTTGATTGTCAGAATGGATCCTGTTCTCCTTTTTATTCATCTAGACTTCCACTTTTCCAAAAACCCTAAAGATGCATTTTTTTTAAATGTAAAGAAATATTATATATTATAAAAGAATCTGTACTTTCAGTCAGGTGTAAAACCAGAGGAAGTACCCTATCTCGATAAATACAGTGTTCCAGCTAAACTACAAATTTAGCTTTCTTAAGAGCGTTGTACCCACCTACCCTATATCATTCCTTTAGATTGTCGGCCTGGGAGAGAGTGGACTAAGTTTCAAAACTTCACCATTCTAACTGGAGTAAGTCATCATACGGCTGCTAAGAATACACACTCAAAACAGATAAATGAATGTTCTAACACATTACATTCCCTACATCCAAGGCCAACAGATCGTTCATTTTCCTAAAATTGCCCTAACTAGCTCACTGTGCAAATCAAAGATGGATTCACAAATCCCTACAGATGAAACAGCACAACCAAAGGAGTTCTAGTAATAAAAAACTACTCATTTCCATTTCTTAGCATATGGAAAAACAGAGCCAAATTTAGTTTTAGAATGAAAAGATTTGGGGTATATGTCACTATGCCTTCTGGCTTTGCACACAAATGTTCGAACCTCTTGATGGAGGGCACCATTAAAACACAAAACACATTTCTGTCCAGTTTGCTATCTATATACATATAAACAAGGGAATGCGCTGTATGGTATTTACTCACACTCTCTCCTTCTCCTGCCCCCCAATAAAATATTGAGGCTGCTATGCATGAGCTTTACCTACAAGTTTAAAAAAAAGTCAGTTAACAAACAACTCACCAAAAGTACTTTGTATGGTGTGCTATGTTTCCACCGCCTATGACATGGAGCTCAGAAAATAACCTTGGATAAATTTTACACCATGGTTGAGAACAGAATGATTCCCGTCTGCTGCAGGCTTTGGGCTCTGGGACAAATGTGCCTTCCTATTACTTGCAAATATTTATGACTGAGTCACAGTTATCACACTGAATCCTTTCTTTTTTAAATGGCTCAGAGGTAATACACACGAAAATATAATAACCGGCACTATTCCAAATAAAAAACAAGTCAGAGTAATTTTTAAGTGTTAACTAAATTAGGTCTTATTTTAGCAATGGGTAACTGCTTTTGAAAGCCACATGGGAAAGTGTCCAGCCTTTATGGCACAAAGGATAACTTTTCTTTAGGGTCATCTAGTTCAATAAATGGCATGTTAATTCTTTTTTTCCTTCAGAACTACCATATAGTTACAATGCCTTTCAACCTTGTGCAGTTTATTAATTTGAAGAAATAAGGCTATAATGAAGCATGGATCATTACATCTGTGTATGCATATATCTGGGAACATGGTAAACAACATATTCTACAACATTTGATAATGGTTCACAAACAGCATAGAAGTCAAAGTAAAGCAGCAAGATTTAGACGGGTTATACAAAAAATAAACTCAGAAAAGAACAACAAACCAACAAACAAAATCTTAACAGCTTTCAGGAGCAAGCCTGCTACTTACAGGAGTCGTGAAGAATGCAGTCAAAAGAACAGTCTAGAAGACAGTTCAGCCAAAGGTTTTGGCAAAACTTGAAGTACCACTTTACCTGAACGCTTGCTAATACGTTTTGAGAGCTGGAGAAAAAGAGGAATATTTCATTTAAAAAAGTATGTGTGAGAATTTTGGGCTAGTTCATATCCTAGCAATGGGCATTGTCACTTTACAAATTTTCAAATCAGCATGTTACTGTCCTTCTTGACTATGTATGAAGTTGAACATGAGCTGACAGTAGAATGCTGCTACCTTTCTATATTTATTTAGAAAATGCTTCTGGTTTTAGACTAATGCTGGCATTTTGGTCTAATAACTCAGTTTAAAGTTTACATAGTTTTATTTTTCATTTGTAACAGGTAACTAGTTACATATTAAACTCCTCCTTTTTATGAAAATAAGGCAGTACTTTCAATACAAGCAGTTAAGACTTAGGGAACTCGATTACAGGACCTCTACAATAAGTCTCCCACCATCAGCTTATTTATAGAATTTCATTATGGGAACACTGCACAGGATCTTGCTTAGCTGTATTTAAGGCAACAGCTTAAACTGTTACGCATAAATCACAACGCCTCATTGGCAAAGTTTCTTACCTTCATAAAACTTCTGGGAGAAAGTCTGGAAGTCAAGAATAATGAATTTTTACTCTTGAAGGAGCTAGAAGATAGAAATATGATCTAGGCATTTTATTATTATTAAATTGTAGTCTAACATACACATTTTTGGATACCAGATTCTGTCCTCACACACAACAGTGTCATTACAGAGATAAGTAAATATGCTATTCCAATCAAAGACAAAAAAAAAATAAATTGATCACACATAATGTACTGGTTAAGTATCTTCCTTGAACTATTTAAGAATGGCTTATAAAATGATTCATATACATTGCATTTTTTACTTTCTGCATCCCATTGCACATACTGGAGTTCCATAAGGAATACTCTAGCATAGAAAAAAATATAGCATGCTTTGGCAGAGCTAAAAAAATAACAAATACAATGCTAAGGCTAAGTGTTTCACTGTATGCTTGTTTTTCCACATCAGAACTGTAGAAGTCTCATCCATTTACAGACAACTTTTTGGAGCAGATTGGAAAGCCATGAACAATTCTATTAATTCAGTCATTAGTTTCCAACACTAAAAAACTGTAAATTAATCAATCTACTGCATGCAATCAGCCTCGAGAAGGACAGTGTTTTCTGAGTTTATGGGGGTTTTTTTTGGTTGGTTGGGTTTTTAAAAAATCAACACTTGTTTTGTTTACATAAAAAACCCCATCCTGCTGGAATTAAAGTCAGCTGGTTCTTCCCAGCTGAGACATCAATAGAGTAAGTTTCAGAATCAGAGTACAAACAGCAACCCAAATGCTACTGAAAGTCTGAATGTAGTTCAACCAGCTCCTTAGCAAAGTCTTAGCTTTCCAAGGCTGGCTGGAGTAAAAGTCTAGCTTAGTAAGTACACTGCAAAGTGTAAAAACTTAGAAAGCACATTTTAAAAACCCCAAAGTTCTTATATAAAAGTGGTTTTCCATGTTGAAGTGTTCCTTTTTTGTTTGATTTTTTTTTTATTTTATTTAATAGGAGCCCTTACAATTAAAGGAACTTGAGTTTTAACTATTACAACTTTGCAGTCAAAAATGAAAAAATATTGTGAAGCAATATCTGACAATTTAAGAATTAATTTCCATAACATTAATCTTTAACCATAAAAGCCCATCACAGAAAATTAGAGTATTTAACATTGAAGTCTGTAACCCTCAGTTACAAATTAAGAGAATTTTGAGACAAGTTTGTAAGAACTATCAAGTTTGTAAGAAACTTCACAGAAATATTTCCCATTCCCACCTTTAAAAGCACCTGCTTTGTAGATTTTAATTTTAAAGAAACAGAATAATGACTCAGAACTCCTGAGATCATTCATCATTTTTTCCCACCATAGGGAAGAAACTCATCAGCATACAGAACCCTAATAGCTGACTTTAAAGCACAGGCATGATTGGATTATGAAACTGATAGAAGAGATTGCACTATCGTGTCTCAGTAACACATATGAGGCAAAAGACTCCCTCCAGGCCTCTCGGCACCAAAACTCAGAGCACAGAAATTAAAACTAAATCAATAAATATATGGCTTTTTTCTTTTTTTTTCTTTCCCATTGCCACATTAGTATTCTGCAACAAAACTCATCCGGTAAACTGGCACATCATCAAGTTAAGTCTAGATTACTTTTCAATTCAAATATGAATATTTGACAGCTGCATATGATTTTTTCTGATAATTCAATATAAAAAGTTCACACACAGAACCTGTTCTTTATTCATTACTTATGCAGTAGTTCAACAAAACATTTTAAAAGTCAGCTAAACAAGCAGAGAAAACATGGCCTTCAAAGGAGAAAATCCACACTCAACAGTCCAAAATGTAAACATGTTCTTGGTGTATGAATAACAAATATTAAAAAAGAAATCACTTCAAATATTTGACTATCACATCAACCACACAAGCCATAATTACTTTTTTGTAATGTCTTATAACTGAACTGTTTCAAGGAATAGAGAACATCTTATTCTTCATATCTTTGTGATATGATCTTTTTTAAAGCATTCACCTGTCATTACTGTGACAAGTAGTTATCTTACTCCTTGTTTGCCTTTTGTATTTTACCCAATGTGATGTGAAAGTGACATTTTCTGCAGTGTTTCTGCTTAAAATTTCAAAGCACATCAGATGTTGTATACAAGCAAAAAGTTAAGATGAACCTTCTGAAAAGCAGAATCTGTCAAAGCTCTGAAAAACACATACACAGCTTTAGTTCAGGCCAATTACCCTGGCTCACCTTCTGCTAGAATTATAGTCACAGAATGATTTCAGTTGGAAAGGACCTTAAGGATCATTTGGTTCCAGCCCTGTTGCCACAGGCAGCAACACCTTCCACTTAGACCAGGTTGCTTCAAGCCCCA